GTCTGCAGACATTGTTAAGAATCACTGGGGAGTATGAAGGGAACTGCTCCTGGTTAGAACTACTAAATTAAAATAGAATCTGTTAAGAAATCTGTATTTCTTTTTAGTCACTAAAATGTTAATATTGGAAAACGATTTATCATTAGTATTCCAAGCTAATTTATGCTGAAAAATGCTCATGACAAAGAATTTACAGTTAATCAGGCTACATACACCTCTGTGCAGGGCAGAAGAGGAGGTTCAGAGAGAGCACCACTTGATCCCCAGGTGGAAAATCCTGAACACAGTGCTGGTTAGACTCAATTTTATCTACAGCTGGCAGCCTTCATTAAACATTGCAGACAGCTCCTTCTTCCCCTACAGTAAGGACACTTGTGTCCTAGTCACAGGTTGATGGCTTTGGTAGAAGCAGGTGATGTTTCTGGCATAGCTCACCCTGACAGTTTGAGAAAAATCTCAGTGTAATTCACCTGCTGTTCCCTAGGGATGTTTGCCTGAATTATGGCAGTCCCTAATGTGGTTTCAAGGCAGAAACTGTCAGGATAGCTCTGAACTTCACTGAGTTCAGGGGACTCAAATGTGTTGGCCTTCTAGTCCCCTCTCCATGTTCTGTTTCAAATAGCATCCTTAATACTCACTAGTGACTTCATAAACTTGGAAAAGACAAGGATCAAGGGGAGACAGCAGAGGGAGGGGGACAGGCAACACAAGAGCATATACCCTGTAAGGGGTGTTCTCAATGAAGAGCCGCCCTCTGCGGAGTGGGCCATGGCATCCGTTGAGCACCTGCTGATCTGGATGCCCTTTGCTGTGGAAACCAGTGGCGTCCAGCTGTTGGAAAAGACTATTCTGCCACAGAGGCAGAGATCACAAAGTTATTCCTAACACGGCCCTTGGAATGACGCTGCTGCTTGAGTTGTAGCTGAAGACAGAATATTTATTTTTGTGTATGCACCAAGAAAAGAAACAATAATCATAGGCAGTAGAGTTCCTTAGCACAAATGTAAAACTGAGACAAACCTTTCTCTTAAAATACAACTACTACATACAGAACAGTGGGGTAGGGATAGAGAATAATTCTCAGAGAATAAATCAAATTTTTCATCAATCAATATTTTAAAAGCCCTACTCTATTTCTTTAAATGATTATCTCAGAGTAGTGAAACAAAACTATGAGAAAATAATTATTTTAAAATAATCTTTGCATTCATCTATAGCACACCTAAAATATTTTTGTTTGCCAAGAGCATGAAACATGAGTTTTCCATAAAGCAAAAATATTTATGTGGCATTTTTTTCCTTAAGGTTTTGAATAAGTGAGTCTGAACAGAGGAAACATTGCCTCTTCTGATGTGAAAGGATTCTAGCTGTAGTACTGGGGAGCCAGGAGGCCAAAGTACAAGCATGGGGGCACTCCAATATTCTAAACAAGACAGTGGAGGCTCTGATGGCAGGATCAGACTCTACACATGTTTAAATGTAGAACCAATGGAAAATTGTAGATTTGTTTGAAGTGAGAGATAACATGAGTCAAAGATGACAATCTTCCAGGAAAATATATTAACACCTTGATGTGCACTCCAGCTTGGTTTCTGTTGTTGTGATAAACACCATGATCAAAAGTAACTTGGGGGGAAGAAAGGGTTTATTTCATCTTACAAGTTATAATCCATCATCCGTTAACAATCAAGAAAATGCTACACAAACATGCCCACAGGCCAATCTGATGGAGGCAGCTCTTCAACTGAGCTTCCCTCTTCCCAAATGAGTCAAGTTGACAACCAAGACCAGCCACCACAACGTGGAAGAGTAGTAGAGACAAGGGAGTTAATTTCTAATATTAAGTAGATGGTTAATTCATATTTATTGGGATGATTAATCTTGGTTGTTAACTGAATAGAGATGCTTAAACTTACTCTTAAAGGACACAGCTGGGTGTGTCTGTGAGGGCATTTGCAGACCACTGACCGCAGGGAGTGGAGAACATCCGTCTTCATTGTGTATGGCATCAACCAAGATGCTGGGGGCACAGATGGAAGAAAAAACTACAGGCAAGCTCACACCGGCCCACGATCAAATCTTGAGTCGGCGGCTTTTTGCTGCTATCACTGTGTACATCAGACTTCATATTCTTTACCTTTGAATGTGGACATGCAGCAGCTATACCCCAAGGAGACTTCCATACCATCAGCCTCAGACTTGGGCTACTTCATTGGTCTCTTTTGTTCTGAGGCTTTTAGCTTCTTAAACTGAGTAGCTATTGGCCTTTCCCAATTCTCCAGATTACAGATGACCACTGTGGGACTATTCAGCCTATGACTACATGAGAACATAAAACAAATAAATCCCCTTATATAGATGTGCAATGAATCTATATTTTGGAACCCAGCTAAACAATAGTCATGACCATTTCTACAAGTAAAAACTGGGAGTATGGAGTTAAAAAAAATGCAACAGAAAGATGATTTGGGGCTGTCTGAAATTAACTAGACATCTGGTATTGCTCTCTAGTAATTGCCTAATTAGAGGAGGCATTTTATAATCAGTTTGTCCATAAAGAATAAAGGGAAAACAGTGACCTTACCCACAATCGATTATATTCACCTACATATGGACTCTTGACAGTCAGCTTTAGTGGCTTAAACAGAGTATTTCTCAGTCTCCTAGGAGCAGCGAACTCCAAGATTGAAGTGTATAACACGGTTTGGTTCTGATGTGTGGTTTTTAAGGTTGCAGATGGCCCTCTTTTTCAAAGAGGCAGAAAATGCTGATGCCCAAAAAGAGGATTAGTTCAATTTGTGAAGTCTCTACCCTTATGAACCACCTCCTAAAGGCCCCACTTCCTAATACCATTATATTGACTATTAATAGACGTTAATTCTGGGATAAGACATTCCATTCACATTATCAAAGAATGACTTGTTATCTAGGATTCATTTTGCAATCCACCAATCAATGGGCAATACTGAGGAAGCAACTGAGCATATTCAAAAATGTTACCTAGTGACCCTTAGCTTTCATGAACCAGTCTGCCTCAAGTACCTCAGTCTAAAAGCTGACACATAGTGTTGTACCCCATCCACTGGATCCCAAAAAGACCACCGAGGACCCAACACACCAAAATGCAAAAGCAAAGGTTTATGGTTTATTGGGGCTTAAGCTCAGGCTCTCAGACCTCACCAACTCAACGGATCCGTGCTGAGAGCCCAGAGTAAGTGAGAGTGGAGCCTTTTATAGGTTTTAGACAAAAGGGGGGGGAGATACCAAAGATCCATTTTGGTTGGTTCAAGGAGCCTGCATGCACCAACATAATTTTAAACTGATTGGATGTATAAGATGCAGCCCTGGAAGTTTCTTATTGGTAGGTGCTATTCTCAGGGCTGTGGAATGTGCTGTTACCTGTGGGGCCAGGAGTCTCTTTTTTTACCTTATAGGGCAGTTTTTATGCGCAGGCTTTCTTAATCTATAGTTTCCTGGAAGGGGGGTGGGGAATAGCAGGCGGGGGTCAGGGCATGCCAGGGTATGTCTAGGCATGTCTAAAGCAGCAGCCAAGCATTTTACAGAAGCTAAAAGAGCAATTAGTGGGGGTCTGGAGGGATTGGGGGGTAGCGGGTGAATGAAGAGGGTCTCAGGGTTCTACAATAGCACTTGCCTGATTTGCCAAAATACTTTTGTTTTTTGGTGGAGAACTGCCTTGACAAATATCCAATAACCAACTGCTCTGGTATTTCAGTTTCTGCCTTAGCATCTAGATGCACCTTCTGGGTTATGTCTTACACGGTAAGAACATGTGAATGTTCTTTTTGAATGTAAATTCCAAGTTGAAATAATTTTCAGCTAGTGAGGATTCAGGTTACTGTGGAATGTACTTTGCTTTAAACACATTCCAAGGTTTTGTTCTCTATTTTTTTGTCATTTAACTGGATTTTCCTTATTTCAAATACCGATCTCAATTTTATTTTAAAGGAAGCAAGAAATAAACTAGCACACCTTGGGTTCAGGTAGACCCAGAAACTGGAGAATAAAAATTAAAAATGGATTGAAGGATGTTAAAGAGGCTATTGCTATAAACTAATAAAAATACTAAAATATGAAATGAACTAAAAGGATATAGAGGGAAATGGAGTCTATATCCTCGGTACCTCTCTGTGCACAATGAAACTTACTAATCTCCTTACTTTTTAAAAAAACCTGTCCCCAAACTAGAATTCAAACCTCATGAACATCTACAATCATGCCAAAATGTGATTTTGATTTGATATCAAATAAGAACTATTTGTATCATCCAAGTGAATCAGCACAGTATGTTCCATATACAGTGAACTCTTCCAAAGGCAAGTTTGCTAAAACAACAAAGACTAAACCCCTTTCTTATTTCTTACAACTATCATCTTTTAAAAATTGCAAGAATTCAAATAATAGCCTACTTCCATGTGCTACTTGAATAAAAACATATCTGTTATGTATTCTTGCCTAAGAAAAATCACTGCAGTCAGGTGTGGTGGTACATGCCTTTAATCCAAGTACTCAGAAGGCAGACAGATCTCTTGAGCTCAAGGCCAGCCAGGGCCACATAGTGAGCTCCTGTCTAAACAAAACAAACCCCCACAACCATGACAACAAAAACCACCGCCGCCAAACAAACGAAACCAAGGTCCAAGCATATAATTTGCTATGAATTTTGAGTTATTTTTTAGTTTTGTTTTGTAAACTTCAAGTTTCTTTAAAATGCAACAGTGTGGGGCTGGAAAGATGGCTCGGTGGTTGGGGCACTGGCTGTTCTTGGATAGGACCCACGTTTGGTTCCCATCATCCACATAGCGGCTCACAACCATCTGTAACTTGTTCCAGGAGATCTGACAACCTTCTCTGGCCTCCACAGGCACTGCATGCATATGGTACACGTACACACATGCAGGCAAAATACTCATACACATAAAAAGAACTGTGCTCACACAAACACTACACGATAGTATAATAAAAACAGACATATCAATCCATTGAGTCTTTGCATACAACGGGTTTATTCATGATTCAATTAACAGCTCATAAAGTTTATTTTAAATGACAGTGATAATGTGAAAAACAGGTGCAGCATGAAAACAAAGACTCTTCCCAGTCTAGAGAAATATCTCACTACAAAGTTGCCATTTTAAACATCTTTAGTGTCAATTCTGGGTGAACCAGGAGGGTCTCTTCCTGTTTCGTTCAACAATCCTCTTGTCCTGATCCTGTTCTGATGGTGACTCTCCCGTGTACAGGACCACGGTCTCTACGGAAGGAGCTTTAAAAGGACCCCCTTCTTGATTCCATATCTGTCGTCTGATTTCTGTTGTCTCCCTGCGTACTTTCTCATAGCAAAACCCACAAAGGACATGTTTCTGCTTTAGGTGACCACATTCAGGACACATGTCTATATTATTCTTTAAAAAAACAAACAAAAACATATTACAACAGGTAATGCAAAGACAAATAATCACCAGTAGGAGTGCTAAAATGCTTATGTTTTAGCTTTCTGAGCATATTCATGTTACATGAGGTCATGTACCTTCTTGTTCAACTTTAACAAGAAAACTGAAAGACAGCAACACTGAGTTTGAAATAGTAAGAAACTTAGACTAGAACGTAAGTTTACCCATTTTCACTCCTTTAACTCCAAAACGAAATAATACAGCGCCCATCAACACAACCCACTCAGAGTATCTTAAAGTACCAAGGAAAAGTTAAAAAAAAAAAATTCAGGGCTGGGGAGATGGGGTTCAATTCCCAGAACCGACATGGCAGCTGACAACCGTCAATAACTCCAGTTCCAGGGGATCCAACACCCTCTTCTGACCTTCGAGGGCAGTGCACCCATGGGTGCACGTACATACATGTAGGTAATATACTCATAAAATGAAAATAATAAAAAAAATTATAAAAAAATTTCAATCTATCTTGAGGCAAACAAGAAAAGACTATTATATATAAGCCTGGTTTCCCCTGCTTTACTAGTGTTTTAGATTCCTGCATAGAGAGCAGGTTGCTGGCATACGTTTTCTTCTTCTACTGAGCGCTGACTATTCATTAATGTAACATTTTCTTGTTACATTACAATTTGAGGGTACTCTGGAAAGAAAATGCAATGAAAAATAGCAAACAGAAACATAAAAGGAGCTTCAACTACTTCATAAGATAAACTCGTGTGAGGCAGAGATCAATAGAAGTTCAAGGGAAAAAAGAACTTTGCAAACCACCAGCCTCTCCATATTCTCACTTGACTTTGCTGTACTGGAAATTGGACTGTGTGCCCAGGTGAAGGGCTGAAAAGGCACTCACAGTCAGCTGGTCTTCAAAATAAGACCAAATCATTAACATATATTCTATTTAAAATCCACTCAACTTTTTTGATTTATTTTTATTTTATGAGTATGAATGCTTTTCCTGCATATATATTAAGTGCACTCATGCATGCAATGCCCATGGAGGCTTAACTGCTATATAAACGCTGGGAACTGAACCCTGGTCCTTTGTAAGAGCAGCCATTGCTCTTAACCACTGAGCCAAGTCTCCAGTTCTAATATACTCTATTTAGTAAGAGATAATTCAAAAAGGCGAACAAATGTGCAGGAGAGTAGACAGAGAATCCATCCAGTAGAATGGGGCAACAGAGCTCATTTCTAAAATGTCATCACAACCAAATTTTAAGAAGTTTTAAGTAAATTTTTGAGTTCTAGATTAAGTTGGGGCTTTACTTAGTGACTCAGTATTAGTTTTTGGCTTAATTTTTTAAGAGTTTAAGAGAATGTAAAAACTGTTCTTGAGTTTCCTCTCTATATATACTGCTGCTACAGAGTAAAACCAGATATTATAACTGTCAAAGGTATTAAATAGGTAATATTCATACACACACACACACACACACACACACTCTTTTCTGCCCACCAGGTCAATGGAGAATGCACCCATATTGTGGAGTAGGAATCTAGAATTGTCTGAGGATGGGAACACACAGAGAAAAGTTTTAGGAGAAGAATGTGGCCTCAAAAATCAGACTGCCAGTGCTCAAAGTCTAGCTGTACCATTAACAGTTGAATAGACGTGTGGGCATAGACAAATTCCCTTTCCCTCAGTTTCTTCATCCAAAAATGAAGAACATGGTATCACCTTTGGAGGATCACTATGAGGATAATACACACAAAGCTCTGACATATACCACAGGCGTTCAATAGACTCCATCAATGGAGATGGTTAAGAATAAATTAAACGTGTAAGGGTTAGTAAATAAGATTCAATATACCCATTGCTTCTGTCATTTTTAGGTGCTACCACAGCTAATATTTACCTTTATAGTTCAAAATCACACACTTCTGGACTGACATAGTTCATAATTCAAAAGTCATGTGAGAACATTACAACCCATTTTTCTCCAAAACTCTCCAAACTTCTTCCTTCACTGTGTGTTAAATGTTCAGAGTAGAGTTCAATAGACTTATACAAGGAGAAGATTATGCTTAAGCCAGAGGATAGACAAAGGATCTGAAAATAATTTATCCATAGGCTATATGGATATATGTGCAGGATACCTTTAGTGTCAACTTGACATGTCTGGGTTGAGGGAGCCTCAATTGGGGAATTTCCTCCATTGAACTGGCCTGTAGCCATGTCTGTGGGGTATTTTCTTGATTGTTGTGTGATGTGGGAGGGCGCAGCCCACTGTGGGTAGTGCCACCCCTAGGCAAGTGGGCCTGTGTTGCATAAGAAAGCAGGTTGAGCAGGGGCCGGGGGAGCAAGCCAGTAAGCAGTGTTCCTCCATGGCCTGTGCTCCAGCTCCAGCCTCCAAGTTCCTGCCTTGAGTTCCTACCTTGGGCTCCTTGATGAACTGTGACCCTGGAGATGTAAGACAAATAAACCCTTTCCTCCCCAAGTTGGTATTGGTCAGAGTGTGTTGTCACATCAATGGAGAAACAAACTAGAACAATATACAAGGCTATTCCATGGCAGAACCAAGAAAAAGTGCACATGTACGCATGTGCACGCACACATACACAAGCAATACATTACCTTAATTTTGATAAGCTTCCGAGGATTTCTTCTCCTACAGCGGTTAACTTCGATGCTACGTCTGTTTTTGGGAGCTGCCATCCAAAAGATACTATCCAGGAGGCTGGAATTCTCTGCATTTCCACTGGTATCATTTGTTAACTCTGTGAGTATGGATGGACCCTGGACTGCTAACACTGGTGCTGTAGAATGAAAGAGACTGAATCAATTCCCAGCTCCTAAATGACTATTTATAGATATTATTTCTTTAGTGATCGATGGGTATGATGTCAATAGATACACATCTAACAGACGTATATAGTTTAATATATTTTAAAGACTACATTTATTTAATTTTATTTCTCTGTGTGTGCGCACGTGCGCCATGGTACATGTGTGGAGGTCAAAGGACAGCATTCAGGAATCAGTTCTCTTTACACCATGTGGGTCCTAATGATAGAAGTCAGATTGCCAGTCTTGGCAGCCAAGAGCCCTGACCCACTGAGCCATCTTACTGACCCGACACTGACTGACTCATTCTTTCTCTCTCTCTCTCTCTCACACACACACACACACACACACACACGTTAAATATATAGTTTAGAATGTTAAACTCAACAGACAATAATAAATCTTGGTTCATATGAAAAGCAATTTTAAATAGTACAGGCACCTACTGAAATGATACTGGTGAAATTCAATCATGGTTTTTTAACCTCAAGTAATACAGGATACAGTGCTTTAGAAGTAAACATCAATATCTGAAAGGTGTATAACTTAAAAAACAATCATTCAATTGTTTACAACCTAGTTGGTGGGAAGTAAGTACCTAATTAATATATAAATAAATCTAACACTGAGTCCCTACACACACTCTGACCTGCACTCCCGGGGCTGGAGACATGGTGCAGTGGTTAAGAGCTGCTCTTGCAGAGGACCCTGAGGTGGAGGCTAACAACCATCCATAACTCCAGTTCCAGGGGAATCAAGTTCTCTTCTGACCTCCAGGAGGGCATGCACGACACGGATGCACATACATACATGCAGGCAATACACTCATACACATAAAATAAAAATAAGTAAAATATCTTCGAAAAAATGTGGAAACACCCAATGAGATTGTGATAATTATCTCAGGAAGCACATGGAAAAAAACCTATTTAACAGCCTTTGGGATACAGTTGTATCTATCTCTGTTCAGACTGCCTGGGTGTTATCACTTTTGGGGTAGCTGTAAAAGTCAAAACAACGAAAATTTTAGCGTGCAAGTTGCTTTCAAAATTAGTACCTGAAAGAGACAACAATCGTACTTAATCTGCATGGAGCTTCAACAGCACCAGAGCCCGCCATGGTAGCTCACACCTGTAATACCAGCACTTGGGAAGCCGAGGCAGGACTGCCGCGAGTTAGAGGCCAGCCTGGGCTACACAAAGGGTTCCAGACCAGCCTGGGCTACAGACACAAATCGTCTCAAAAAAAAAAAAAAAAAAAAAAAAAAAAAAAAAAAAACAACAAAGAAAACCAACACCCATATCATTCAAACAAAAATCGTGAGCTGTTTCTGTCACGCAGCCCGGGGCCCACGAAGCCTTTCCCCACGTACCCCACGGAGGACTGGTAAAGCCAGACCAACTCTGCTGGAGTTGCCGCTGCAGCAGCTCCCAGCACTTCCGGAGCCGTCCGGGACCACCAGGCCACCGGAGCGCCATCAGCACCAACGCCGGCGCCATTCTCCCCAGAGACACAGCGGCAGGCGACTCGAGCGCCCACTGAGCATGCGTACAGTCGCGATTTGCCCCCCCCTTCGAGCCTGCGCACAGGTGTCCCCTGTTCAGAGCATGCGCAAAGCCGCGCCCCCTGTTCTGAGCATGCGCTGAGGCCAAGAGTCGGGCTACACTAGTTCCTGAGACTCCAATTCCCAGCATGGCCCTGGAGCGGGTCTGACTCTCCTCCAATCGGAGATAAAGTCCCAGGAAAGCGAAACGGTGAGCGAGTGTGCGGCTGTGTTCCGGCTCTCCGGGGGAAGATGGCGGAGCGCGGGTACAGCTTTTCGCTGACCACATTCAGGTAGGAAGGGGACCCCAGGCTCCCCCAGGCATCACCGGCCACGGGAGCTCCCCAGATCCTGGCTCCGTGTCCCGGGTCTTGTTGAATGTCTCCAGAGGAGCCCACGATGGCGTGGACTCGGCTCTGCAGAGTCATCTGCCGGGCCGGGCCCGCCGGGTTCGGGCTAAGGCCACGCGCAGAGCCGGGCTTCGCCCCACCTGTCTAGACGCAGGCCGGGCTAAGGCCACGCGCAGAGCCGGGCTTCGCCCCACCTGTCTAGACGCAGGCCGAGCGGGGCCGAGCCCCCCCAAGTCTAGACCGGAGGCAGCCCCACCGAGCCGTTCCTTCGCCCTCGCTCTGTGGACTGGAAAGGAAGGGTTTGGGATAGCCGGTCCATCCAGTCAACCTAGGATTGCCTTCCAGCTGAGATAGGCCAGCGCCTGAGCTTCACCCTGACCTGGTCAAACATTTGAGACGCTTTTTTTTTCGCTTTTGGGAAAAGTTGTCTTTACAGTTAGGTGTGACTCCAGGTCTGAGCAAGTTTCAGTCTCCTTTTAGCATTAAGACTCTTGGTTTCCTCGATGACACTATCAGAAGCTGAAGAAGCACAAAATGAAAGAGCTGATTTGTAATTAGATTTTGCGGTGCACCCCAATTGCAAAGCTAAAATACATATTTTGCTTTGTCCTCACCTCCACCTCCCCTTTTTTAAAAGATTTTAGACCTCTGTTTATGGGGCAGCCTTAAAGAAATAAATTAATTTTTTCAAAGTACAGTTGCATGAACCATCATTCCAGGTGTAAGAAAATCATCACTGAAGGCTTAAGTCAACCAAGGAAGGATTCTGGTGAAAAGAGGCCATAGTAATGATGTTTTGCTGAGTGGAGATGGGAAATCAAATGGAAGAGAATAAGTGCCCTGCGTTGAGCGGCTCCTTGTAAAGTTAGTTTCGGTACTATTCATGGCAGATTTCAAAGGTCAGCAGTTCCTGGGGTTTGGCTAATGAGATTTTACCGATATGTCTTCCTCTGTCAGAAGTATTCCTGTAGTAAATATTTGAAAATATGTGAACCTAGCAAATAATATTTGTTTCTTTTGGAGCTGGAGAGTTGGCTCAGCAGTTAACAGCACTGACAGCTCTTGCAGAGAACCTTGGTATGATTCCCAGTACCCATATGGTGCCTAACAACTATCCTAACTCCAGTTGTAGTTCCAGGGGATCAGACACCTTACATACATGCAGGCAGTACACTCATAAAATAAAAATACTAAAATATTTTTTAAAATATTTGTTTCTTTTTAAGCCCATCTGGTAAACTTGTCCAGATTGAATATGCTTTGGCTGCAGTGGCTGGAGGGGCCCCTTCAGTGGGAATTAAAGGTAATTAAATGCTTCTTTCACTTCAGATGCTTGTTAATAGTTACCTTTAATAGATGGACACACATAATTCCTAACAGTCTTTTTGTTAATTTAGGGAATTTGGAAGTTTAAAGAAAATAGTATTTAGTGCAGTAATCATTTCACAGTCAGTAGAGCAGCCTTATCTATCGTGATAACCCATAGGTAGTCTTTCCTTCAGAAAACTGTATTCTTTTGTTTTTCTTTGATTCTTTCTCTGGCAGTTTTACAAAAGGTTACTGTAAAACATAGCTAAAGATAGTGTTGTTTCATGTCCTAACATCCTTAGAGGAAAAGCCTACACGTCTTTTTTGTTGTTATTAGACCAGTTAGCCAAGTAGGCAGAAATCCCATGTTTTAATACCTGTAAACTCCCAGGTAGCCTAGAATACTTTGAGAGAAATTATCTAATACCTTGAACTAATGGGGATTCCTGGGGTTTTTTGGTGTAGTATAAATGAACAGTGACAGAAGAAACGGTTTATTATTTCTTAAGTAATTTTGGTATAAGAATCCAGAAAAACATAGAGAAAGCAAGAGAGAAATTTGTATATAATGGATCTGTAATTAGAAAGCTAACAAAACTCTTCAAGTAGTCCAGCATCTCTTTTGTTCTGCTTTGTTTTTTCAAGCTGCAAATGGTGTGGTATTAGCAACTGAGAAGAAGCAGAAGTCCATCCTGTATGATGAGCGCAGTGTTCACAAAGTGGAGCCCATCACCAAGCACATAGGCTTGGTGTACAGTGGCATGGGTCCAGATTACAGGTACTGCATTCCATGTACAGTGGTTCTCATCACCTGATGAAGTGATCATAACCCTAAGTGATCATAATTTATACCTATATTTAGTCTGCCTGTTAGGGTTATTTTATGGAGGTTAATCTTGTGGTACTCCGCTGTAAAAGAGTGATACATTACCTCCTTCTCTGTGTGTAGCCTATTCTTCCTTCTGATCTCTATCCTTTCTCTACCAACTATGGACTTGAGAGAAAGGACTTTGTTATTTTGGTACATTTAAAAATGATCAGGGGCATCCATGTTATAATAAAACACTTTCAATGATTCCGGCATCAAAAGAAAGCATGGATCCTGTAGAGTTAACCTCATTGTGTTTATTTCTGCTCTTGTCAAAGGGACAGTATTCTCTAAGGCCACTGAAAGTTTCTGAGTGGCCAGCTGAGATTCAGAGGCTTATAGAGTAGCTCCCTAAAGTATTACTTTATTACTCACAATTATATGATACAAGATAGAGTCAGAGTTTCTCTTTGAATCACAAGCCAGCAGGGTCACTGGAATGTGATCAGCTTTCACTACAGTGGCTCCTGCCACCACTCTAGAATGGACACTGGCCATGGGCTGCCCCTGATAGAATAACTTAGTGAGGAGGGACATACGAGTATCATAGAAAGCAACAGTGTGCATATTTCAGATTAGTGGTACTTGAACAGGGAAAGATAAATCCTCTGCTTAATATATTTGATTGCTGTGTGGTCTATGAATAGCTTGATAAATTTTATATTTTAATATGTTATATATTAAGAGCAGTTTCTTGCTATTTTTTAAATCTTTAAAGGTTATTTTGACTTATATGCAGAGTTAAGATGGACTACAGAAAGCGGCTGAGAGAAGTATGCAGAGTATATGTGTGTTCATGTTTCTTTGTGGGGGACGAAATGTCAATAGGGTGGCTGCCCTCAGGATAAGAGGACAGTTTGGAGAAGCCACAGAGGGAGATAGAAAGCTCTTGTTTTGTAAATTAAATCTGTTCATTTTAAACTAACGATACCCTAGTCCCTGCTTGTTTCTTTTTCCTGCTTTTTCTTTACATCTTCTGGTTTGCCTCATTGATTCTCTATTTCCTTCTAAATCATCTGAAATCCAACGTAAGAGACTGCTCTAGGATGCTAGCTCTTAAAAAGAGATACATGTTAAGCTTGTGCTTTAAGTATATGCTTTTAGGAGAATAGAATAACTTAATTTTAATAGAATCTTCTTTATTTCCTTAGAGTACTTGTGCATAGAGCTCGAAAACTTGCTCAGCAATACTATCTTGTTTACCAAGAACCCATTCCCACAGCTCAGCTGGTGCAGAGAGTAGCTTCTGTGATGCAAGAATATACCCAGTCAGGGTAAGTTGCTTTTATTACTTGAAAAGTGTCATGAATTCAAAGAAGGAAAAAGAAATTTAAAAAATTCTAAGAGAGAGTAGATAAATATGAGTCTCAATATTTTTATATTTGCTTAATATGTGAGTAAAATCACTATGATGGTGAGTGTTTCTGATTTTGACCTAGAATATTTTCTTAAGGAAAACAGTGTGACTGACTGGTATACACTTGTAGACCCAGTACTTGGGACATTGAGGGAAGAAGGGCACAAGGTCAAGACAAACTTGGGCTACATAGTTAGACTGCCTCAGAAAAAGCAAAAATAAAAAATGAATGTTACTTATCAACAGAATATAGCTTGATTTTAAAAAGCCCTTTAGGGCCAGGTATGGTGACACGTGCCTTTAATCCCAGTACTGGAGAGGCAGAGGCATGCGGATCTCTGTGAGATCTGAGGCTAGCCTGGTCAGCATAGTGAGTCCAGGACAGCTAGTGCCACAGGAAAGACCCTATCTCAGAAAACCAAAAACATGAATAAAAATAAAGCCCCTTGCCAGTGATTCTTTACAAGCAAATAATCTTTGATACATCTGCACTTAGCTTTTCAACCAAAACTGATTATGAGCACATGGTGACAACAGCAACATTTTAATTCCAATACTGGAATATTTAATTCCAATATTCATTTTGTGTTGCTCTAACAAATAACACCAGGGAATTTACAAAGAAAAGAGGTTTATTTCATTGCAAACTCTGCACATCCAAGAGCATGGTTGGTAGTCTATAGGTATTTGGATTTGGTAAGGTTCTTGGTAGATAGCATTACATGACAAGAGGTTATACAGTAAAAGAAAGCAACAGAAAGGAGGTCGCCAACTCTGGAAACTAATCCATTTTGAGAGACCAACATAATCCTCCCCTAGGATGGTGTCCATGACCTAAAATGCTTTTCCTCTACACCCTAACTCTTGAAGCCCCCCAGTACCTTGCAATTCTGTTATACTGTGAATTAACCTCCCACACATGAACTTTAGGGGAGCAAACCATAGCAAGGTGTTACTGTATAATCCAGGATTGTTTCTGACTGTTCTCACTGCCATAAAGAGAATTTATTTTAAATTGGTTCATTTAGAACTTAATTTTAACTTGGTAATTAGATCTACTTAGGAGTATTTTAAATTCTTACTTGACACCAAGTAATTCTTGTTTTCTTTTTACAGTGGCGTTCGTCCATTTGGAGTTTCTTTACTTATTTGTGGTTGGAATGAGGGACGACCATATTTATTTCAATCAGATCCATCTGTAAGTATCATTAAATATAGTTGAAAATTTCTTAGAATTGCTTTTTATGTGTAATAAAAGTTGAAACCATAAAATTTAGCAGCAATTTCTCTTTTTCCCTTGTTTTGGAAAGTATAAAGTTGAATTCAACATTTTGGTAACTCAGTCTTTGATGAAGAAGCTATGTGAGTTTTGCCCTTGTTTTTCTTCGTTAGCACATACCAGAATGAACTGTTATTGTGGATGTTATCAAATCTCATTAGCTCTATAGAATTCTGTTACTTTGGCAAACACTTGAATCAAAGATGTGTAACTGGACCCAGTGTTCTAATTTGCCATCAGTTTAATCTTGGGATTGCCTTGAGTAGAACTCTTAGAGCAAAAGCATTGATCGAACTAACTTGAATTTAGTGTTTCATCAAATGATTTACCTTATAAGTTTAAAAGGCAAAATAAAAACATTTTGATAATCTGTCTGTGACCTTCTGAAACTAAGTGGCATGTCATGTCTTACCTTTCCAGTGGGTGGCAGAAGGCAGTCTCTGGAATTATGTTCACTGCTGGGTCTCCTTTTCCTTATTAAATCTAAAAGGCAATTGTTTAAAACATCAGATATGCTTTCTTCTATATGCATTTGTTTAACTTTCCACAGATGAGGCTATGTTACTTATAGAGCTTCTTAAACTTTCCATCTGAGATAGTTTTTCTGCAACCCCAGCATATGAAATAGGTACAGAAGTCAAATATTGACTTTTAATAAATCATAAATATATCTTTAAAATCTTTTGGAATGCATACAGTTTTATCACTTATTAAAGACAAAAGCAAGTTTGCATACTACTGAGATGGATGAGCTTGTTTATTTTTATACTAAGAGTTAAGTCTTAATGGAATATTTGATACTGCAGGACCTTGAAGAGCTTCAGAGTTTTCCAGAATTGGTTGATATTTTGATTTTGTGCTTAAGAATGCTAAAGGTACCACTTCATACTTGGAGACTGAGGAATGATGGTAGAAAGATAGATTTCTTCTTCCTTCCCTCCCTCCCTCCTTCCTTCCTTCCCCTCTTGCAATTAAATCATTATATTTTTGTAAGAGCAGAAAACTTAAGTGTGTTTAGGTCTGAACTAAGGTGTTTGCCGTAGTGCTGTTGGTGGTATGTGACGTGATGGTATGCACAGTGAGAATTGCACATGTAGTGAAGTCACAGAGTAGCCTGCAAGAGGCAGCCAGAAACGCCTTGGATTCATTAGGCATTGGATCTTTAAATTTTGGTTGTTTTATGTTCAGAAAACTTTGACTATTAATAGCAAAATTTTTCATGACTTCATAAAAAATATTGAAAGGTTTTGATTTTCCAGTGAAGAGCTGTCTCTTTACTCAGTAATGATGATGAGTTAATCACCAGTTTTCAGATATACATGACATTTTAGAGCCCCTCAATCCATTAAGCTTAAATACTACTTTTGTTATTTTACTTTATGTTAACCCTGGTTTTTTATCTTGCTTTAAAAACCTTCCAGTGAGCTGCTCTAAGTCATTTGTTTGATGAATTTTGTTATGTATGTATATTTTATATGTATATATTTGTGCATACACAAATATATAAATACCTAAGCAGACCATCCCCATTGTCAAGATGTCAGTTTCTTCATGACTCTTGGGGGAAAAAAAAAAAAAAAAACCTAAAATTTCAATTAATGGACGTTAAACACAAGCAAATGAAGTCTGTCTGCCTCCCCCCGCCCCAATTATATAAACTAAAAATAAAATCAAAAGGGCGACCAGGAGAATTTGAGAAACCTTGTTACACCATTTTACATACACTCTTGGGGGAAAAAAAAAAAAAAAAACCTAAGAAATTTCCATTCCATTACAATAAATACTCTGTGTCTTCAGAGACCAATTAGAGTTATAAAGCAAATGACAGAGTAATATAATTGTATGGATGTTTTCAAATATGGCTCAAATATTCCTCTTCCTGATTAGGGAGCATACTTTGCCTGGAAGGCCACAGCAATGGGAAAGAACTATGTGAACGGAAAAACTTTTCTGGAGAAAAGGTAGGCAGTTTTCAGACCTCTTTAAATTTCATGGATCTAACAAATTTGTTGTATCACTCTTTTTTTTTCTTGGTCTTTTTGAGATGGTCTTCCTGTAGCCCCAGCTGACCTGGAACTTGTGTGTAGAACTGGCTGGCCTTGATCTCACAGAGATCTGCCTGCCTCTGCCTCCTGAGTGCTAGGATTAAAGGCATGTGCCACTATGCCCAGCTCAAATCGCTTTGCTTTTAAATCTAGCCAAAGATAAAGGAGAAACTTCCTAACATTCTGGTTTTCTAATCTTAAGTATATTTGGTAGTTGTATAATTTATTTCTTTATTTTGTTTTCTTAAAATTCTTTTTAATTTATTTTTATTTTATGTGTGTGTTTTACTTCCATGCATGTAAGTGTACCCATGACTGCAGTGCCCATGGAAGTCAAAAGAGGGTGACAGATTCCCCTAGAACTGGAGTTAGAGATGATTGTTAGCCACTACGTGGGTGCTGGGTGCTGAACCTGGGTCCTCTGCAAGGACAGTCAGTGCTCTTAATCGCTGAACCATCTCTTCAACCCGTTACTCATTTATTAGGGATATCTCTTTCTACATTATTTCAGGTGTTTCTTAAATGTTTACTTTTTATTTCATTTCCCCTATAATATCAAAAAGCACTATATTTAGAGTAGAAAAATGCTTACTTATTTAATAACTACTATGAAAAGTAAAAGCTGGAATAGCTGAGTGTGGTGCCTCAGGCCTGTAATCCCAGCTATTGGGTATGTCAAGAGTATTGCTTTGAGTTAGAGACTAGCGTTTTAGCCTGGACTACAGAATAAGAAGCTGTAGCACGAGAGGGAGAGAGGAAGAGAGGGAAATAGTTGGTATTAAGCAGATAAGATGATGTATGTATTTGATAAAGGAAGACTGGAATGCTGGTGAAAAGTTGCTATCAGTATAGAGCATAACAAACTCTCACGAACTCACAGCTGTATTCCAGACTAGGTGCCAGCACAGTCCTCCAAAAAAAATCGCTGATCTTTTGAGCAGAAAAGTTTTATAGTTTACTTTCAACAGATAACCCTTCTCAGTACATTTTTCACATAATATTAATGATAAGGTTATTATTATATCATAGACTTTTAATTAAGTGACAAATAGCATTTTTCTTTAACTTTTGCTTATTCATGAGTCTTTAAACAGTCTATAACTTAAAAGAACAAACTATTTTAGCAACAGTCTGATTTTTGTTTTACTTTATAGTATTCTTAAAATGTAACAGTTACATTTTTTTATCTTGAAGAAGATTCCTAAAATAAACCCATTTTAGGATTATACATACTTTTTTTTCATGATGTTAGGTATTCAGCACCAAATGCCACTTTCTTATTTTGCGGATAGTTGTCTCAGCGATGATTAGGGAATGAATGCTTGTATAATTTAGTATTTTTAAGGTTGCTAGATTTTTTTAAGAGATATGTTTTTGCTATCATTTTTAAAATAGCCATGAAGAATCCAAACAGTGCTATGACATTGTTTTAATTTTTTTTTTCCTTTAGATACAATGAAGATCTGGAACTTGAAGATGCCATTCATACAGCTATCTTAACCCTAAAGGTTAGCTCAGTATCTGCCAACTGGGTTTAAAATAATCATGGTTTCTCATGAACTGCTTGGGAAATTGACCATTTTCCTTCCCTCCTCAATTAGGAAAGCTTTGAAGGACAAATGACAGAAGATAACATAGAAGTTGGAATCTGCAATGAAGCTGGCTTCAGGAGGCTCACTCCAACGGAAGTTAAGGATTACTTGGCTGCCATAGCATAATAAAAAAGTGACTGAGAAATCCAAATCTCACATAATCTGTCTAGTAATACATGTTTAAAGTATGTTTTCATTTTGCAGACTTTTTGCAGGCTTATTTCTACATGCTCTAGAGAAGATGTTTTTAAAATGATAATCATAATAAACTATTAAATCTAACTTCCAGCTTTTTAGGTGTTTGTAAAATGTTAACAGCTATTTCTCACTTATTATCATAGTTGATTTCTGGAAATTACATTGCAGAGTAGAATGATGAAATTACTAGTTTTTGTGTAATTTCATTACTACCAAATCTTACCTGTTTCCATAAAGCAAAATGCTAAATTTTGTAACCATTACTGCTTTTAGAATTGGGAGAATCTGTACACATTCATGGATTCATGAAACAACCTGAGAACTGTAGATATTAAGCACCCAGTAGGTATGGTGCAGTAAGGTCTTAGAGTACTCTGCATTTGAAGTGCAGTGAGAGAGTGTTAAGCAAGGTTGGTCTCCTCTGGGATGGGTAAGCAAATAGACCATGGTTGGCTGGTTCCAGTTTGTTCTCCATCAGAGGCAGGTGAGCATATTTAAAAGAATTCCTTAGATTATGGTTGAACTTTTTTGACTCTAGTGGATATGAATACTGGTGTGAGGTCCTCCCTCATTACTGTGGTCAGAGCCTTCAGGGTAAGTAGGCTCTTAGAAATAAGCAAATAGTGGGGCATTTGAACTCATTTCATAATGTGAGAGCACCACTGTTAGGTATGATAAGAAGAAACAGTCAAAGAACAGTATTTCTGAATGTCATTATCCACGTGTAGAGGTAGTAGGCAGTTCCATGATTTAAGTGTAGATAGCTCAGAAGATTTTGACCAAGATTTGGCCTAGGTTAGAAGAAAGGAGCCTTTGAGTGTTTTTGGTGGGAGTTACAGTTCCATGTACCATCACTATAACAGCCATAACCTTGCAGTGGAAGGCAGAAGCATTTTAGGACATGGGAATGGTATTCTGGGATTATTTAATTATGTGTGGTGTGTCTGGACACACTTCCATACATAGGTTGATGTGTGTCTTCCTTGATCATTCTGCTGTATATATTGAGGCAGGGTCTATCACTTGAACTCAGTGCTGGCCAGTTTGCCTAGTCTGGCTAGCTAGTTTGCTTCTTGGAGCCCCATCCCAGCCTCTGAGTGCTGGGTGAGCTCTCTTAGCATTTATGTGGGTGCTGTGAATCTTCACTTGCATTCAAGGAGGTTTACCTGCTTAGCCATCTCCCCTCCCTTTCTATTCTGTTTTAAAGTGTGTTTTGAGTGCCTCATTTAATAGTCTTTCCAGATAGGCCTTTGGTGTATTGAGTCCAGGACAGTAAAAAGTCCAGCATAGTATTAAAAAGTAAGTCATTTTCAAACTCTCCCACGGAGTATGCAAAGAAATGTTTTTAAGGGCTAAACTTGATACTGCAGGTGGAAAGCTTGACATATCATGGTTAGCTGCCATTCATTTGGTTATGCCTTCCCTAATGTCCAGTATTCAAAAACAAACCCCAGAGGACTGCCAAAATTTATGAATCAAGAAAGGGAAAGTAAAGGTGTATGCACTCAAGACAAAGAAAATACAAATGTTTCTTCCAGGATGCCAGCAGGTCATCGTACACAATAAAGAGAAGTTAGTTCAAGCCGATTAGATTCAGGTTCAATTTACTTCCTCCTGCTTCCATTAAATGCAGAGTTGCCTGCCACTCCATTCCCTTTGTTCCCAAAACTGAAAAAAGTAATTCTTTCTATTGACCTTAAAACTAAGCTGTCCTTTTTGTCTCAGTTCTTGCAAAATTTCATTCCTTAATGTAGAGACCCATTGTACACCTGACCATCCCATAGCTGCACATCATTTCAAGCTTGTGGATTAGCCTCTTTTAATCTTGTTTGTGTATCATAATGTTCCTAATGTTCATAGCATTACCCTACTTTTGGTTGAACTTGTGCAAGTTTTTTTGTTTTTGGTCTGTTTCATTCTGTCTCCCAGTTCCTTACTGACCAGGAATCTTGCTTCACAGTTACTAGCAGAGAAACATGGACATGATTAAAATATGCTTAAGATTCATATACATGAGAGTAAAAGGGAATTGGAAGGGGGGCGGTGAGGAGGACTCTGCCTTAATGCCATGCTGATACATTGAGCATCAATAAGAGAACATCAAGCACTTTGCATTTTCAGTTATTAAAGACAGAACTGGCTCTCCGTACTTCACCTCTAGTTCTCTGCCAGTCTTGGCAAGCTTTCCTACCCACAGCCTATTGTAAAGAAGAGCAAACTGATACTCAGTGAATTGTCCAAGGACATGGAGGGGCTGGTACTGTCTTTGGATTAGACTTCTAGTTCCCTAGCAATCATCCAATGACCCCTTTACCCTTTGATTACATTTCTTATCATTGACAAATGGCAAGTAAAGGAAGAGTTTATTTTTGCCCCCAGTTTGAGGGTGCAGTCAGTCTATCTGGTGAAGTGATGGCAAGAGCAGCTCTAGATGTGGTGGCAGGGGTATGAGGTGGTTGGTCACATTGTGTCCACAGTCAGGACACAGGGAGCTTCTTTGGCTCCCTTTTCCTTGTTTATTCAAGTCTAGGTACCGACTTGGATGTGCAGGTGCCTGAGAAGCTAAAGGCATCAGGTCCTGCTGGAGCTGGAGCCAGCCGCAGGGGTTCAGGTCCTCTGCAAGAGCAGTATCCACTTTCAACTAATAAGCCATCTCTCCAGCCCCTTGATTGTTTAGTTTTCTACACAGCAGCCTCAAATTCTTGTGAGATTTCACAACAGAACTAGAAAACCTGTGCACTATTTTCCCAAAATTAGCTGATCTGGGAAAATAGTTCATTCTAGTTCTCATCCCACACCTCCCAGAAATTGCTCTCCTGAAAGTTTATAGCATCCCATTTCGTTAAAGTCAATAGTCTCTACAATTTGAAAGCATTACTCCTGTCTAAATTTGAGTATTGCTGATGGAAGTTCGATGCTGTTGTGTATGGAATGCCAAATCCTTTGGTTATGACTACTTTCTGTAGCCTTTAGAGTTTTCTTTTATGTGCAGTATTCTGGGATTTCACAATGTTTTATGTGCTTTTTGTTGAGTTAATATTATTTGCGCTGAACACCCAGTAAATTTCCAAAAAGAAGGAAAAAAGTCTTTTAGTAAATTAGTATATTTAATTTTATTTCTGATCCCCAGATTCTTACTAATTGAATATTGGACTCTTGTTTTTGCTCCGTTTTTAATCTTACTATACTTTCTCATAGAGTTTTCCAATTCATCTGTTGATGTTTTAAAATTTGAGATACTGTTTTTACTTCTGAGGAAGTGTTTCCTATGCTTTGCCATCTCCCCTTAAAGTCACCTTATATGGCCAAAGTAACTGGTTATAGTTATAGAATACTTAACCACTTTTTCCTACTGTCCCCTGAATTCCAAACAGAAGAATGTTTGCAGGAGCGGAACTTGTGAATGAGTCTAATGCCTACTTTTTTTTGTAGATGCAGAATGTCGAATTTCTCTGATGTTTTTCATTTGCTTAATATTTACTGTTTTTTGAAGGTGGGGGGGGATGGGTAATGGCACAGGGAAGCCAGTAAGATTGGAGGAGTAAGGGCACCAGTGGCACCATTTTAGTCAGGAAAAACTTGGCACTATAATGGCACCTCTTTCCTATCTTTTGTTGGGCTTAGGTCTCATCCCTGTTTCCCTAGCCTCAGCATCATAAACTCTAATGCCTGGGGAAGGACGAGGAATGGTCCAGCTGCACCAGATAGCAAAGAGGAATTTGCTGTGTGCTGCTAATAAAGACTTGTTTTATTATTTTTATTTTATGTGTATGCGTGTATTGCCCAAATATGTGTTAAGTGCATCTGTGTCATGTAATGCCCCCAGAGGTCAGAAGAGGGCGTTGGATTCCCCAGGAACTGGAGTTGCTGCCATGTGGGTGCTGGGAATCGAACCCATTTCCTCTGCAAGAACAGCCAGTGCTCTTAATCGCTGAGCTCTCTCTCCAGTCCCATTAATAAAGACTTTTAAAGATTATTTTCAATCCTTCCAGACACCCGAAGTTCCAAAACTTCTGAAGGTATTTTTAGGCTTTGCTGACTCCATTTACAGACGTTGCCTAGGTTTAAATAACTTCTCTCTGGCTCATCTGTAAAACATATCTACCTTTCAGGATAGGACTGAATAAGTGTAAAATACTTGAAGCAGCACTGGCCACAGCACTGAATGCGTGCTACTGCTCCTAAAGTGCTGTTGGCAGTGTACCTTATGTGAAGTCATCTCAGCTCTTTTTGTGTTGGTGGATTATTCATTCCAGTAATATTCTTCCCCATCTGTCAAATAGGGCTTGGGGGAAGAAGCAGGATCCAAGAAACAAATTGTAATCGAAGTCTTTAACATTTAGAATTACTGACGCTTTCTCAAGCAATCTTTCTGGATGATTGTGGACACTCCACTTGCCTACATTATCCCCAGCCGTTCAGAAGGTAGCAGCCCTTTGCCCTCTTCAATAGGACAGCACATTTAATAGCACTTTTTGTGGAAAGTGAAATGGTGCAGCTTAAATTGTTTTGTTGTGGGGTTTTGGCCTTTGATGTCTCTCTAGTTTTTCTTTTGTTAAAAACAAACTGTGTCAGGCATGATGGTATGCACCTGTAATTCCAGCACTAGGGAGTCAGAGGCAGGCATATCTCTGAGATGAGGCCAGCCTTGTCTACATAGTTCTAGGCCCGCTGGGGCTACAGGGAGACCCTGTCTCAAAAATAACACACAAAAAAAGAAACCCTGGGACCCTGGGAATACGCCTCTGCCCTCATTCTGGGTGCCAGGCTCTTCCAGTTACACTGTTTACAGAACCATTGCCCTCAACAAACATGGCTGCCTAGGCGGCAGCGACTTCCTAAGCCGCAGTGCAGCCTGGGAATCTCGGGTTAGGCATCGCCCGGCCGGAACCACGTGATGCGAGAGGCGGGGCCTGGCTAGCCGAGTGTAGTGTTGCGGAGGGCGCTGAAGGCTGTGTATTGCCTTCCCGGAGAGTCGGTCCTCTGTGCCTGCGTCCTCCTGCGCGCGGGATCTGGGCCGCTGCGGGTGAGGACCTGGGGATGCAGGAGACGTGGGTAGAGGGGGAGGAAGGAGAGAGGAGAGGGGAGGAGGGGAGGAGGGAGGGGTCAGCTCGGCACTGCCCTGGAGTTTGGCCTCTCAGCCTAGGTGCCAGAGCCTGGTGGTGTACCGATCTGCGGGGCAGAGCTTAGCGGAACACCGGGACATACAGGGTCCAGCGCACCTCACCCCTGGCCCTCCCACCTCGAGCCCTCCACCAGCCAGGCTGGCCGCCTTTGAGTTGAGTTCTTGGCGCTTTTCCTTCAGATGGGAGCTGGAGGCAAGTTGGTGGTCGCCTTTAGTCTTAAAATATGCTGAGTTGACATGACATGCAGAAATGAGGCTGTCTTGATTTCTTGGCACGAGCACCCTGTGGTAGGTAAGAGACAGTTCCTTAAAGGAGAACACCTAGTGAAGGAAAAAAAGGTAATTATGGCCAGTTTAGAAGAGACTCTTTGGAAAATTTATGGGCATTTTTATGTTTTTCATAATTTTAAAATTTTTTATGTATTTGTTAAAAAAATTATGTATTTAATTTTATGTTGCGTTTTGCCTGCATGTACGTCAGTGCACTCGTGTCAGAGGCAATGCCCTTGGAGGTCAGAAAAGACTGTTGGACCCCCTGGAACTGGATTTACAGAGGGTTGTTAGCCACCATATAGGTGCTGGGATTCCAACCAGGGTCCTCTGCAAGAGCAGCCAGTGCTCTTAACCACTGAGCGCTGTTTCCGCCCCATGAATATTTTTATTTTAAACCTTTTATCTTGATGTCCAAACAGCTTTAAATTTTCTGTGCATCTGATTCCTGATATGAGAATAATTCCTTACATAGGACATTGCCCAACTCCTGCTTTTGTCTTGATATAGGACATACTGTGGACTCCGTGGTCTGAAGAAATGGAGGTCTAAAGTGTTAGAATCCAGCATATTGCAGGAAGCTTTCCTTAGCTGTTAGAAAGGAGTCACTCCCAAAATTCGACTCATAGTTCAGGTTCATAGACTTAGCCTCCATAAAAGCTTTGTTGCTGTATTGGACTTTTTCATCCTCTGTGCTTTAGAAGTGCATTCAAATTTGCCTTGTTTGTTGTCTTTCCCTAGGAAAGGAATAATGCTGTCATCATGTCTGCACACTCCATGCTTTGTGAGAGAATCACCATAGCCAAGGAACTGATCAAGAGGGCAGAATCACTTTCTAGATCAAGAAAAGGTGGCATAGAAGGTGGTGCAAAGCTGTGCAGCAAATTGAAGGCAGAATTAAAATTCTTACAGAAGGTAGAAGCTGGTAAAGTAGCTATTAAAGAATCTCATTTACAAAGCACAAATCTAACACACTTGAGAGCCATTGTGGAATCGGCAGAAAACCTGGAAGAAGTTGTCAGTGTCCTTCATGTTTTTGGTTACACAGATACCTTGGGAGAAAAGCAGACCCTTGTGGTGGATGTTGTCGCAAATGGTGGTCACACCTGGGTGAAAGCCATTGGCCGAAAGGCTGAAGCGCTGCATAACATCTGGCTGGGCAGGGGCCAGTATGGTGACAAAAGCATCATTGAGCAGGCTGAGGACTTCCTCCAGGCCAGTCACCAGCAGCCAGTGCAGCAGCAACCCTCACATCATATTTGCATTTTATAACAGTGTCTCTAGCCCCATGGCAGAAAAGCTGAAAGAAATGGGCATATCTGTAAGAGGAGACATTGTAGCGGTCAACTCTCTGCTAGAACACCCTGAGGAGCTCCGACTGAGTGAGAGCGAGTCAGATGACGAGGGCCCAGAACTTCTGCAGGTGACAAGAGTAGACCGAGAAAATATACTCGCAAGTGTTGCATTTCCAACAGAGATCAAGGTTGACGTGTGCAGGAGAGTAAATCTGGACATTACTACTTTAATCACATATGTATCTGCCCTGAGTTATGGAGGCTGCCACTTCATCTTCAAAGAAAAAGTACTCACGGAACAAGCCGAGCAAGAGAGGAAAGAGCAGGTTCTACCTCAGCTAGAGGCATTTATGAAGGACAAGGAGCTGTTTGCCTGTGAATCTGCTGTCAAGGATTTTCAGTCCATTCTAGATACCTTAGGGGGACCTGGAGAGAGAGAGAGGGCTACTCTACTAATTAAACGAATCAGTGTTGTGCCAGACCAGCCTTCTGAGCGTGCCTTGAGACTAGTGGCCAGTTCAAAAATTAACAGCTGTTCATTAACAATTTTTGGAACAGGAGATACCTTGAAAGCCATCACAATGACTGCCAATAGTGGTTTTGTCAGAGCTGCAAACAACCAGGGTGTTAAGTTCAGTGTGTTTATTCATCAGCCCAGAGCACTTACTGAGAGTAAAGAGGCTTTGGCCATGCCCTTGCCAAAAGACTTCACAAACGATAGCATGTACTAACTAATGGTATCTTTTAAATGTCATGGAAATAAGTTATTTATACCAAAGGCTGGCAATTCCCATCTAAATTGGGGGGGAAAGGTTGATAGTAAAAAATGATGTTTAGAACTCTTAAACATTTAAGTAGAATTTTGTGTGTGTTTCATCATTTGAGGTCTGTAAAAATTAGAAAAAGCACAAGAGAATTTTATTTATATTATATTACAAACTACATACAGCAGTTAAGAGCAGAAATATATCTGTATGAAGCTTTTAGCTGTCTTGGAAGACTTGTTAGGTTCCAAAGGGCTTCAGCCCTCACTACAGGTAATCATGGAATATGGCTACATGATTCTTTAATTCATTAAATATCTGGAGAGAGCTCTGAAGCCTGGATTTCATTGTATTGGTTCATCAGTTGTGTAAGTTGGAAGTGGGAGATAATAGTTATTTCAGATTCTAAAGGTACTGCTTTTGGGTATTATTAATTACGCCAACATTACAACTACCCTGAACAAAATAGAAGCCTGACTCTTAAAATAAAAGTTTTTAAGAATGGGCTCAAAGTCAGGACATAAGTTCCCTTAGCTATCGGAACCATTTGTCTCCCAGAACTGTGCCTATGGCTCTCTTGTCCCTTTAACCTGTGCAGATGGAACTGTGTCCTCTCCCTGTGCTGATGGACTGACTCTGGAACTCTGTTTTTTCCACCTTGTCCATGTGGTAGGCCACACCCATAATTTATTCAGAATGGTTCTTCCAGCTTCATTGGGGAAGTAGAAGTTCAAGCTCAGCTCCACCCTGTTCTCAGTAGATCATCTGGCCTTTTCATTCATCCACGGTCACTTGTCCTCTCCCAATCTCCACTGTGTCCCCTGGATGTGGATGTGTGGGCTGCTTCAGTGCTTTGATGCACTAATTCTTAAACGCACACCCATATTCATTCATTGTTTTTTTTTTGTGTGGAGTACCAAACTGAAGTTGCCAGGAGACTCCCATCATCAGACCCAAGAGCATGGTTTTGCTGGAATTAAAGTCATTGGTCTAGATTGTGTCCACTAAGTCATTCCTCCAGTTGCTTGTTTACAATGAAAAGAAGTTTGCTTTGTGGCAGGCAGAGTCTATTTGCAGAGTTTATAATCAGAAGAAATGAATTGTGAATCTTTTGATTCCCATCTATCTACTGATATCTACTATTGTAAAAAGAAAGTCAATAATATTACTAAACTAGAACACTGAAGGTAAAATGTTAGTCAAGTTAAAAATTAAAATGGTTTTTAAACTTATTTTTAAAATGTATTTTATTTTATGTGTATGAGTGTATTGCCTGCATGTGTGTAAGTGCACTTGTGTCATGCAATGCCTGAAGAGGTCAGAAGAGGGTGTCAGATCCCCTGGTACTGGAGTTAGCCTCCAAGTGGATACTGGGAAGCAAACCTGGGTCCTCTGCGAGAGCCTCTTTACCCGCCCCCCCCCGGGGGGGGTAAAAGTAAATCAGATTTTAAGTTTGAACAACCCAATATTGCAAGTATTTGAATTATAAGTATTACTTTTCTTGTTCTTTGCATATGATGAGTGACAACTGCATTGCCTCATGAAATGATGAGTGTGTGCCAGCCTCATGACAGGTTGTAATTAAAAATAAGTTTATATGATGATATGCTTAGTGCTTTATCTGTTTACAATAAAATTAGCAAAGTAGAAATTGGAATTTGATTTGGGCTAGCGACAGCCCAGTCTGTACAGTGCCAATTTGCTGTTTCATGAGAAGAAAAACTCAATTTCAAGCAACAGTGTGGTGATGAAATGTGGTTTTCAGGGTCCAGGAATTCTGAAATGAATGCAAAACTAAGGTTAGAGTGGCAGTTCTCTGGGAAGAGAACACTAAACACATTTCCCACAGGAAGGGCTATGAATCAGGTTTCCAGTTTAGTGTGGAGAGGTGTATTGTCTACTTTTAGAAGTGAAATTTACAGTCTTGAGCACCTACTTAAGGTGCTCAAGATACTTGGCACTAGGAAGTATCAAACAGTATTACAGTAGTTCAGTATGAATTGGTTAGTACTTGCTTTAAGAAATTCTTAGCCTGGTGTTCGCTTCAGTGGCATATGTACTAAAATTGATACTGAACGATACAGAGAAGATTAGCATGGACCCTGCACAAGGATGACACGCAAGTTTGTGAAGCAGTCCATATTTTTTAGTGATGGAGAGATTTGGGAGGGAGTGGGTGTGGATTTGATCAAAACATCTTACATGCATGTATGAAATTCTCAATACATTTTTTTAAAGTTAAAAAAAAAAGCCTTGGCCTGAATGGAGGCAAAGTATGTTTAAAATATGAATGCTCAGTAAAGGATAATTCTTGTTCTGGGATCAGAAGTCAGAAAGGGAATGATGCTTGACGATTCCAGGGAGATTTTATAAAAAGTGTGCTCAAAAGTACAGAGAGTGCAGCCAGCTGGGTGTGGTGGTGCATGCTTATAATCCCAGCATTCAGGAGGCAGGTGAATCTCTGTGAGATCAAGTGGTCTTGATAAAGAATGGAAGTGTGAATGTGAGGGTCTGGCGAGGGGCCAGGCTACAAGTGGAGGGTAGAAAAGTGGGATCATTTTAAAGGGAGTCTGTGGTGGTGTTTGAGAAAGATTGGCTCATGATCATATCAGATCTCCTTTAGGAAAACAATTCTAAGGTGGGACTGGAGAGATGGCTCAGTGGTTAAAAAGCACTGGCTGCTCTTGCAGAAGACCTGGGTTCAATTTCTAGCACCCACATGATGGCTGACAATCATCCTAACTTCAGTTCCAGGCCCATCCGATACCCTCTTCTGACCTCTGTGGGCATTGCATGACAGAGGTGCACTCACACACATGCAGGCAATACACTAATACACATAAAATTAAAAAAATTTCTAAGGAAAGGAAGCTGTGACAATAATTGTGGCCAGAGTAAGAATGACAGAAGGTAGCACGGGGGATGTGTGCTGGTTTGTTTGAAGCAGCACTGATGTGATCTTAACATGATTTAACCTTCACTGACTGACTGCGTGTGCCGGCACAGAGGAAGGGCTGTGAAGATGATTGTTCTGTTTACTGGGAATCAATTCCTAAGAACTTGGAAGCTTGCCACTGCATTCTGAGGAAACTGCTTTCTGAAATGCCCACAACTGTGACCCTGCCAAACACCATTGTCTTTTCCCAGGCTTGCAGTGATGACAGTTTTAACAATGTAATCAATACAAGCAACAGATATGGTCATTTAGTGAGGCACTAGGTTCTGGGATGTGAGAAACTATTGTTTCTGGAACTGCTCCCTGCAACCTGTATCATTCTCCAAAGGACTACTCATGCTGCCCAAAGAGATCAGTCTGTAAGGTGAAAAATGGGAGAAGTTAATAACAGGAATGACCAGTAAAATCAGCCAAAAACTATCAAATCATGTTAAAAAGTAAAGCGAATATCTAAAATTGTGGAAGGTGAAGATAAGTTAAAAAAATATTAAAACCAAAAAAATCCCAATTTGTACTACTAGGGATTAAAAGTGATAGGGGTTAAAAGTACCTCGTTTTAGAAAGGTAACTTTAAAATTCCCCGTTGGAAAAATAATAGCAACACAGTTTTAAGTATTAAGGAATGGAGCTTGGGCCTGGCATGGTGGTATATGCCTTTAATCCCAACATTTGGGAGGTAGAGGCAGATGGGGCTCTGTGACTTTGAGGCCAGCCTGGAGTGAGACGCTGTCTCAAAGGAAAAAAAAAAAAAAAAAAGCTAGCTGGCTGGGAGGATGGATCAGTGAGTAAAAGTGCTAGCCGTGCCTGCCTGACAACCTGAGTTTGACCCAGAACCCGCATAAAAAGCCAGGTGCTCTAGTGCATCTGGAATCCCAGCCGTTCTGCGGTGAGATGGGGACCTGGAAACTGACCTGGGGTACATGGCAGTGGCAGAAGCAACAAGAGAGACCCTGCCTCAGCAAGGTGGAGGGGACAACTGACTGGAGGTTTGTCTATGACCTTGACACGTGCTGGGATATGGTTGCATCCAAACTCACAATTTTTTTAAAAAGAAACGTAACTCATAAACTACAACAAGATGAATCACTTCCAAATAAGTTATGAGGATAGAAAATAAATGCAATCCAAACAGGAAAAAATAAGTGACAAGCATTCTCAAGGATCCCACAAACCAGAAAGCATGAAGTAAGAGCCTTACATCAAGAGAACATAGAAAAGGTTAAGTGTAGGCAAATTACCATAAATTTTGAAATGCCATTGAAACGTGGTTTTCTTAGGAAATATGAATTTGGATCACAGAAGAAAGAGAAAACCAGAAGAACAGTAATAATTAAAATCATTGTTAAAGTAGTTAAGCAATTTTCTCCAACAATGTCCTGTCTAAACTTCATCTGGTAACTTTTTAATTTTAAATTTCAAGTGGCTTGCTCTAAAAGTACTCTGGAACAGCTTAAATGGGAAGGGAATATTTGACACGGAAAGTAGGTATCCTGTTGACTTTACCTCCTTTGCCCCAAGGTGCTTTTCGCCTGCTTGAGAGGGACCAGAGCCTAGGGGTGTGCCTTAACTTCTGTTTGTAGTGGGTACTTTGTCTCGGTACACTGAGCTATGAATGTTTTCAAACTCATTTTCCAACAGGGAAGACCTTGTTGCTGAAGATATGTGTACTTCCAACATAGGTCTTGTAGCAACTGAGCTGGAACTGACCCTGGGCCAGGTCTCATAGTATCAGAAAGTGCTGTCAAAAGAGAAAACCAATCAGTGATCCCATCCAGCTGTAAAGCCTACAAATCACAATAACTGCCCCAATATTTCATACAGTTCTTCCCTGATCGATCGATTGATTTTATGTGTATGAGTGTACTGCCTATATGTATGTAAGTGCACCTGTGTTGTGCAATGCCAGGAAGGAGGTACATGGCCATACAGAAATGGTCCTACAGACACCTGGGACCCTTCTCATACAAACCTTAACAATGGTGTCAGCATGCACAAGACCTATGCAAACTTAGGCAGACAAAAACCTAGCACAGATCTGTAGAAATGAACGGCAATCCCCAATCTTAATGGAAGAATTACTGGCAACCGATTACTGCTAGATGAGGAAGAGCTGATCTTCTTGAAGGGAAAGATTCTAAATAGGTTGACTAAACCCTAGTGGATGAACTTGTACTGAGGGACATCTTGGGACACTAACTTTACATAATAGGCCTTAACACAAATGGCAGGATGTATGAACTCCAGTGGAGGGGGGGCGGGTATGGGAAGGTGCCAAATGAGAAGGGGGAGGGAGTATAAAGATGATTTTCTGTATGAAATACACAAAAGTTCAATTAAAAAATAAAAAAAATACTTTTGCTGTATAAAGTAATCTCAGTTGTTAGCTGTTTACTTTCACACCATGAAATGGGCTATTAGGGTTTCTAGTGAGAGGTTTGACATTTGCCTTTGTGAATTGACATTTTTCTCTTACAGCTTTAAATATTTATTATTTTTATGTGTATGAGAGTACTGCCTACATGTATGTAAGTATGCCTGTGTTGTGCAATGCCCAGGATCTCAGAAGAGGGTGTTGGATCCCCCTGAAACTGGAGTTATGGATGGTTGTGGGTTCCCAGCACCCACATAGCTGGGAATTGAACCTGTGTCCTCTGTAAGAACAGCCAGTGCCCATAACCACTGAGCCATCTCTCCAGGCCCTCTCTTACAGCTTTAATTATTGTTTCTTTGTTTTGTACTTTTGTCAGAAAGGTTCTCTGGTCATGCTTCTAAATGGGCTTCTAAGTACCTCTTGATCTTGGCTGTCTACTTCTTTCCTTAGATTTATGAAGTATTCGTTTATAATTTCATTGAATATATTTTCTGTGCCTTAAGTTTTTAATCTCAGAGCCCTCTACATGACTGTTCTTATTTTGCTTGGCCAAGTTTATTGGTGATGACTTGCCACTTTTTTAAAAAATTCAATTCATTGAGATTTTTATTTCCAATTTTTTCCCTCATCAGTTCTCAGTTTCCTTGCTGATTTTTGAATCTGTGTTGTGGACTTTCTCATTTTGTAACTTTTTTCATGTATATGGCTGTTTTTTTTTTTCACCCATGACCTGCAATTATTTCCTTCATTCATTTTCACACTTTTATCCTCCTTGAAGTCACTGAGCATTTGAATAAGAAAATATTTGAATTATACATCTTTCATTTTACCCATTTAAAAATTTAATTAATTTAAATTTTATGTGTATGAGTATTTTACATGCATGTATGCAAGTGCACCCATGTGTGCAATGCCCCTGTAGGCCAGAAGGGGCATTGGATCCCTGGAACTGGAGTTACAGATGGTTATTAGCCACTATGTGGATGCTGAAAACTGACCTGGGTCCTCTGCAGGAACAGCCAGTGCTCTTAACCACTGAGCCATTTCTCCAGTCTCCTGTTTTACCCATGTAAGTACCTTTGAATTAAGTAACTGAGAAATAATCACCTTTGGAGGAGTGATGTGGCCTCACCTTTTCATGATCTTGTGTTTCAGTGTTGCACTGTACATGTTGATTAATTTAAATATCTCTTCCCGTTTTGAGTATCTTCTTATTGAACAGCCTGTTCTTGAGAGTTTAATTGTTAGTACCATTCAGAAAGGAGGAAAAAAACTGTATTTGTGACAGCACCAAACTGAACAAGACATAGAAATACACTTAAAACTGATTAAAGCCAACTCAAGTACCAGTAATGGCCATAGAACAGAAAATGCCCCAAAATGTTGTAGACTATGACAGGAAGTTAAAAAAATCATTCAAGTAAATACAGTAAATGAATGAGATAAAGGAAGGGGACAACGAAGTGGAAAAACGGAGAAGACACAGATAATAAGAGAAAGGAAATAGAAAACTAGAGATGAAGAAGAGGAAACGAGGGAAAATGAAGAAAGATTGCTCAATAATGAAAAAAATGTATAAGCAAAATTAGATAACTGTAAGAAGTGGAAGCAAAAAAACCCAGAAAAACATAAAATCCAAAGCCACTAAAAATTTAATAAAGTAAAAAAGAAATACAAGAGGCAAAAGAAACATGAGAAAAGAAAAAAAATCTCAATTATGAAAAACTGTATGAATGAAATTTGATGAATGTAAAAAGAGTAAAACTTAAGAATAAAAAGCTTAAAGAAAAATAAAGCTGGCATATCCTCAGACCAACACC